CAGGAGTTATTGTACAAAAAACGCATAAAAAAAAAAAACATTTTTCTGAATGTTAGTTTAACACCCTGTAACTTTGTTGGGAGCTAGTTTTCGATATAGGTAAATATAGCCAAATCCACTTATTTTTTGATAATCTATCTGAGGATGAATTTATGACATACCTTTTTGAAACACCCTATATATCAGAAAAGGAAACAAATTAAAAATATTTTTAATTATACAGTTTTCTCCAAGAAAGTGGTAAATATCAAAGTTAGGTTTTTTTAAATGGAACACCTTGTATTTTATTTTATATTTGAATTTTCCTCGCTTTTCTCATTACTGCAAATAATAAATTTATATGGTTAAAGTGGAATTTTGATTTTTATACTATAAATTGCTAAATTTACCAATTTTTTTTGTGATTTTGATTTTTTATTCAACCCAAAAAAATATATTTGCAATTATCATTTTTTTTTTTTTAATCAAGGTCACAATTTTTAAATTGGTAAACTTTTAGTAGCAAAATATTCCATTTTAAATTTTTAAATTTCATTCCCTGCAGCTCAAGTTCAAGGTTTAAATGGCGCTCGACCAAATTGTTCTTTTGTACTATATAGTTTATTGAAGTCAGTACGATTTTCATTTGAAACTGGTTGTAGCAAGTGAAATGCCCTGTATAATCTTATACTATTTGGTATTGTTATAATCGGAAAAGCGAGGGCAATTAAAATATAAAAAACCTAACTTTGATATGTACCACTTTCTTGAGGAACCCTGTACGATTGAAATTATTTTTAAATTGTTTTCTTTTCTAATATACATCTTGCTGTAAAATCATATTTTTAAAAATCAAATAGTTTTGGCTTCACACACCGAAACGTTATTGATGGCTCACCTTGTATATTCTATTAATTTTTTTTTATAATTTAACTTTTAAAATTAAATTATTGATCTTTTTTTATATTATTTGATAAACTAGTTAATATTATTTAATGAAAATAATAGTTTGAAGCTGTTTAATTTTTGGAATAAAACTTTTTATATATATAGGGTGTCCCGAAATTAGACGGTCATGTTTAAACAGCGTAATCTACATTCTAAAATAGGAGTAAAAGTTTATATAAACAAAAATGATTTGTTTCCGAGATACAGGGTGTTAAAAGTAAAGTCCTGATGACATATTTTTGTAAATATTTTTTAAACTTTTAAAGATAACTAAGTGAAATTTTGCACAAATGCTAAGCTTTTTACGCTCTATTTAATGGACTAAATGCCAGTTTTTGATCATCTCATAAGTGGGTCAATTAGGGGAGGAGCTTAGGGTTAAATTGTTCTAAGTTTTTTAATATTTTTGAGTACAAAATTTGGAAAACCAATATTTTCTTTATAATAAAGTTACTTTCGTACTAGAACGCACCATTTTCAAGAGAAAAGCATTTGAAAATTTTGTGATAAGTTGATGTTATCTTAAGTGTAAACAATAATTAGTAGGCCTGTGGAATCAGAAATTTTATTTTTAAGCTATTGCATAGCTTTTATCGCGGGCTTTGAGCGCGGCGATCGAATCAAGAAAAAAACGAAACCGTAACGAAAAAAACCTAACACCCCCAACTCCGACCGGCACAGCGGTGCGGCGTTGAAAGCCGTGCATCGTCTAACGTCGTTTCAGTTCGGCACGGTGTTTGTGTGCGTGTGACTAGACGTATGCGTGTAGACTAGCTGCTAACTGCTCATAACTGATTCTATTTCTTTAATACACAATTTCGGAAAAATTGAATTTGAAAATGAATAATGATCCACAAGAATCCACAACAAAATATGAGACTACTATTGACGCGGTATTTTCCAGATATTTAGAGGATATTAACTCTCAAACTTGTTTCTTATTTCAGTTACCATAAACCTATAGTTTCAATGATAAAAATTCCTGAATAACCTACATGTATTGTAAAATAATAAAAATATTTTAAACAATATTAACTTCTCATTTATTCAATAAAAGAAAAAAATTGTTTTCTTATCGGTCACCACGCTCAAAAACTGTAACTTGAATTAATATCAAAGAAACAAAAAAATACTGCATAAATAAAATAAATAAATAAATAATTATAATTGCATAAGTTGATAAAAAATGCTATGTAATAGCTTTACCGCGGCAGTCCCCGAGTGCCACGCGTATTTTTTTTTTTTTATTTAGAAAACCGATGACTTCACTTGTAACACCCTGTATCTCGAAAACGTAAGGTTTATATGAACTTTTACTTCTATTTTAGGATGTAGAATACGCTGTTAACATAAGACTGTTTAATATTGGGACACTCTTTATATTGTGTTTAATTTTGTATTTATTCTTGTTTTGTTTTCATTTTTTAATATTTTTATTACGCCTATTATTAATAATATTTAGATGATTTATTTTTGAAAACAATTTAAATATAAAAAAATAACCTAGGAAATAAAACATTCTACAAAGATAAGAGAACTGTTCGAATGGGGTTTCAAAGAAGAGCTCTATTTAACATTTATTCAGTTTTAGAAAAAACAATCTTACTTTTATAGATGGTAGATTTTCTAATAGTTAAAATGAAGCTTTTTTAAAACATTTCTTACGAGTTAAGAGTTAACCAGTGCAATGAGAGATAACTTCAAGAAGCACAACATTATTTAATATTTTTTTTTACTACCCACATGAGAATTTACCATTATTTACTCCATTCCTCTAACGTGAAGTGATATTTCTTATCTTAGGTAAATAATGGAATATAATTTCATTAGTTTCATTTTTGTTAATTTGACAACTAAACTCCCAGAATCAAATCAAATATGGTAATATATCAGTGTTAAATTCGGTTGATAAGACCATAAACCTCGCACATTATGTTCGGTAAATAATAACTCACTTCTCAACCTAAGTGTACAATGTCCTATTGTATCCAGCAGCAAATCCCCAAATAATGTAGCACTATTTTTAATCACCACATTTTTATGATATGCTTATAGTCTATTTTTATGTATAAGAGAGTATTAAAATAATAAAGCGTTCGTAATCCATAGGCGTAACACTTCTTTTAGTAGACAGTTAAAATATTTTTTGAAGTTATTCCTCTTATATTTTCACCTAATTAACCTGCTTATAACTTCTAAACAGCTGAAGGTAAAAAAGTTCAATTTTTTCTAAAATGTTTTATTTTTCCACAAGGTATGTTAAGAACATTGTGTCAAACGGGTTATGTAGGTATAAGGGTTTAAACTTTGACTTTTAAACAACGTTACGTTCATAAATAATAATTTTTAATATAAAAACTACTTCTTACCTACAAATCCAAATCAGAATCGAAATCAGAAGATGAACTGTCGCAACCAATATTTACAATGAGTGGCTCGATCATTTCATCAGTAATATTGTCCAACTTCCACATTTTCTCTTCTTTAATCGTATTGATTTACTGCCTTTTCCCAGTTTTCAGGCTTCACATTATTTACAGCCTCCAAAAACAACTGTTTAACATCACTCATTTTAAAAGAATTATTTTTTCTTGAAACTTCTCCCTTTATCTGTGCCCATATCAGTTCAATCGGGTTTACTTCGCAATGATATGGTGGTGATCTAACCACCGTTATCCCACGATTTTTTGCAATTTCATAAATTTCTTATTTTTTTAATTTCTCTTTATGAAGGGAACACAAATGATACAGATCTTTTCTCACAGAACCGGGATGGAACTTAATATTCTATTTAGCCAATTCTGTAAATCTTTTTTTAACCACTTGGTTGTGGGCATTTTTTGTATAAGTCTCGAGTGATAACTTGCATTATCCATTACTATTATACAGTTCTGAGGAAGATCTATAATTTGTTCGAACCACTCTTTAAAGACATCAGCATTCATGTCCTCATGGTAGTCACCGGTACGAGTAAATTCAAAAGTCAATAAACCACCTTTAACAAAACCGTTTGAACTACCGATGTGTACTATTATTAGTCTGCGCCCCTTTCCTGATGGTGGATTTAAACCAGTAGATAAATTATTTACAAAGCCTGTTTTCGACTTGTAACAGTTTCATCTTGCCAAGATTTATTTGGTTTATGTCCCTCGTTGATCCATGTTTCATCTAAATAAAATATATTTCTTCTTTGGTTTCTCATTTCTTTTATAGTCCTTAGGTAATTTCTTCTCCATACTACAATATCGCTTCTTTCTATTAAAATAGACTTTCTGGAATGCTCTTTCCATAGAAAACCTATTTCTTTTAAAAGTTCCCATAGTGTGCTTCGACTCATTTCAGGGTAATCCTTATCATCTCGAACCGTGGCAAGAACTTTGTCTACTGTCGGAAATTCTTTTCTAAAGAAGAACGCATGCACTTTCCTTCGAAGTCTTTCTTTCAAAAGATTTTCTAATTAAAATTTTGGTTTTCCTGGAGCTTTACGTGCTGTTTGAAACTCGCCACATTTCTCTTCTTTAACAACTCTGTAGATTTCCCAACACCAAGCGTACTACTAACTAATTCCACTGTGTCATCAACACTTTTACACAAATGTTTGTCTGTAAATGATTTAAAACAATTAATTATTAATGTTTTTTCATTAACTGTTAAAGGACCGATTTTTTTCTATTGTTCTGTACAGCTTATGTTTATAAAGGACCAATAAAAGACCCAAAACTTGTAATAGCTCTGGTATATTTATTACAATTTTAGGAAATATTTAGATTATTCTGTAAAAATATTTAAAATGACCGTACTAAGTTTTGCATTAGAAATGCTGTTTTATTACTCTCTCAGACATAAAAATAGACTATAGTAGTGAAAAAATTTTACATATTACTCGGTTGAGAAGACCATAAACTTTGCACATTATATTCTTCGGTAAGAAAATAACTTCTCAACCTAAGTGTATAATGTCCTATTGTATACAGCTGCAAATCCCCAAATAATCTAGCACTATTTTTAATCACCACATTTTTATGATATGCTTAATTTTTAACATCTTTCACAATACCGGTATATGGTTTTAGAAATGGTTGCTGGTGGTGGTTTACAAACGACAAAGGTTAGTGCGGAAGAATGGCCTCTAATACAACCGTCGCAGGTCAGCGTCGCCGTGCCTCCGGTTCACACTGCAGAGTCCATGCTCACACCGCTAGGTATGCACAATCACACTGCACTAGAACTAGACCTAGATAGCTTATCTGACACTAACAATGTACAAAACGAACAAACAGGTACGTTACGACTGGGGTACATGTAACATGTGCTGTCAATTTTGTCCGGTGATGTCACATTCTACGTTATTGGGAAACTCTGTGCCAAATAGTCAATTAAAATTGTATCTACAAAGGTACTTATAATATAAAATATTTTCTGATGGTTATGTTATGTTAATACAATGATTTTAAGGTTCCTCAATAAGATTTGTTGATTAGTCACATTTCTATAGTATCACTAAATTTTCAATTAAAATATATGGTCTATAGGTAAGGGCATTTGTGAACATAACAAAGATGTCTGGGTTCGAATCCCACTGACGACAGGCTTTTTCAAATATCCAACCTTTGAAGTTCAGGGATGGTCTTAATAATTCGTAAGGGGGATTTTTGAGATTGTTTTCGAATTTTCAATCATAATATTTGAAAAATCTGTACTTATTGTTAAAAATTTACTTATTATTGACTACTTGTGAACGAGTTTTCCAATTAAATTAATATATTTGTTTTGTGCATTGTTTTAAATGGTGTTTGGTTTTGTTATAACATTTATAAAGACACATTTTTAAGTAATGATTTAATATTGGTGAATTAAATGTAATCATTGCAGAAAAATTTGTAAAATGAGGTATTAACATCGTGTCATGAAAAATTATAGATACTTAAAAATAGCGATATTAATAAGCACGTTTTTTTATATTAAGACATACCAATACTTAAGTTTATATAGTTGATGTGTAGTTAGCACTGAATAAGGTAATTTTTTCCAAGAGAACAAATTTGTTAAACATATTTAAATAATGCAGATATTATTACTGAAAATCATTTTTTGCGATAATTAATACACATAATATACAGTATGTCTCACTTTAGACTTCACCACTCCATTATTTTGTTTATATAGGTAAGTCTTCGTTTTAATTTTTTTTTAAAAGTTGTTTTTGCAGCAAGATGTATATTAGAAAAAACAATTTAAAAATAATTTTGATCGTACAGAGATCTCCAAAAAAGTGATATTAATCATATTAATCAAAATTTAACCAATGATCAGTTAAAATTAAACAATTTTGTTAAATTATTTTTTTTGTCATTTAAATTTAAAGATCTCCTAAAATTAATAACATTGGGTATAAGGAATGCTTGACTACAATGAAATTTTAATTAATTAAGGTATTTTTAAATGGTAATATATTTAAAAAAAAAATAGATAAAATCATGTATTTGAGTTTTGACTCACCCTGTACAGATTTGTTTCTAAATGAAAAAACTAATGAGTCGGCGTAAATTTTGACTAATATCGAAAACCTTATATCACAAAAAAAATATTTTCAATTGTTTGTTTTGCACTATACAGGTCATTGAAATACCATTTGTTATATAAAAATGGTTATAGCGAGTGAAATACCCTGTATAATATCATACTATTGGGTATTGTTGTAATGAAAAAAGCGAGAGCATTTCAAATATAAAATAAAATACAAAGTTTCCCATTTAAAAAAATCTAATCTTGGTATTAATCACTTTATTGGAGAACCCTGTATTAATGAAATTATTTTTAAATTGTTGTATTTTCTGATATACATCTTGCTGCAAAAAAAAATTTAAACAAAATCAAATTGTTTCGGCCCCACTGACCGAGGCATTACCGATTATTCACCCTGTATACAGGACGGTCACTTTTAAAGTGTATACCATTGGGAAATCCTAAATGGCAAGAGATACAGTGTTGGTGAAATTAGATAAAAGTAGCGCTATTTTATGCCCATTAAGAATCTGCTTTGAAATCTAAAATATCTACAGGGGTTTTCAAAATATCGGGTGAAAACTAAAAATTGTAATTTTGGACAAAAAAACTAACTTTGATACGTATCGCTTTCTTGGAGAACCCTGTATAATTGATATTATTTTTAAATTGTTGTCTTTTCTGATATATACATCTTGTTGTGAAAATAAATTTAAAAAAAATCAAATAGTTTTGGTCCCATAAACCGAAGCATTACCGTTACTCTCCCTATATGCAGGGCGGTCACTCTTAAAGTGGGAAATCCTAAACGGCAAGAAATACAGTGTTGGTTAAATTAGAGAAAAGTTGCGCTATTTCATGCCCATTAAAAATCTGTTTAGAAATCTAAAATATCTACAGTGGTTTTCAAAATATCGGATGAAAACTAAAAATTGTCATTTTGGACAAAAAAAAACTAACTTTGATACATATCACTTTCTTGGAGAACCCTGTATAAATGAATTTTTTTTTAAATTGTCTCTTCTAATATACATTTTGCTGTAAAAACAAATTTTAAAAAAAAATCAAATTGTTTCGGCCCCACAGACCGATGCATTACCGATTATTCACCCTGTATACAGGACGGTCACTTTTAAAGTGTATACCATTGGGAAATCCTAAATGGTACGAGATACAGTGTTGGTGAAATTAAAGAAAAGTAGCGCTATTTTATGCCCATTAAGAATCTGCTTTGAAATCTAAAATATCTACAGGGGTTTTCAAAATATTGGGTGAAAACTAAAAATTGTAATTTTGGACAAAAAAACTAACTTTGATACGTATCGCTTTCTTGGAGAACCCTGTATAATTGATATTATTTTTAAATTGTTGTCTTTTCTGATATATACATCTTGTTGTGAAAATAAATTTTAAAAAAATCAAATAGTTTTGGCCCCATAAACCGAAGCATTACCGTTACTCTCCCTATATGCAGGGCGGTCACTCTTAAAGTGGGAAATCCTAAGCGGCAAGAAATACAGTTTCATGCCCATTAAAAATCTGTTTAGAAATCTAAAATATCTACAGTGGTTTTCAAAATATCGGATGAAAACTAAAAATTGTCATTTTGGACAAAAAAAACTAACTTTGATACGTATCACTTTCTTGGAGAACCCTGTATAAATGAATTTTTTTTTAATTGTCTCTTCTAATATACATTTTGCTGTAAAAACAAATTTAAAAAAAAAATCAAATTGTTTCGGCCCCACAGACCGAGGCATTACCGGTTATTCGCCCTGTATACAGGACGGAGAAGTATATACCATTGGGAAATCCTAAATGGTACGAGATACAGTGTTGGTTAAATTAAAGAAAAGTTGCGCTATTTCATGTTCATTAAGAATATATTATGAAATGTAAAATATTTACAGGGGTTTTCAAAATATCGGATGAAAACTAAAAATTGTCATTTTGGACAAAAAAACTATTGCTTTCTTGGAGAACCCTGTATAATTGAAATTATTTTTAAATTGTTATCTTTTCTGATATACAACTTGCTGCGAAAACCGAAAACAAATTTAAACAAAATCAAATAGTTTTGGCCCCACACACCGAGGCATTACCGGTTACCCACCCTGTATAAAGGGCGGTCATTCTTAATGTGTATACCATTTGGAAATCCTAAACGATAAAAGATACAATATTGGTAAAATTAGAGAAAAGTTGCGCTATTTCATGCCCATTAAGAATCTACTTTGAAATATAAAATATCTACAGGGGTTTTCAAAATATGGGGTGAAAACTAAAAATTGTCATTTTGGAAAGCTTTCGATATTGTCAATATTTAAGGAAGTCATTGCAGTTTAAAATTCAAAGTGCCAGAGCAAGTAAAATAGTTTTTTGCTCGATATTATGGCATAAAAATGCAATATGGCGTCCATAAGAAATGCAAAACTGAAGACTGAAAAAGAAGATTTTGATTTAACCTTGAGAACATTTTTATGGCTTGCATGGTATCGTTGAATTGGGAATTTTGTTGGCTATTCAATGGTATAAAAATTAAATATGGCAACCATTAGAAATAAAAAACTTGACTATGGTTGCTAAAATTCTAGAAGGCCTGGAATTTATCGATAGCGTCAGTCGATTGGTCGTAGCTCATAATACAAAAGTCAAAATTTTCTCAAACGTTGTAAACAATATCTTAAGTTTTCCAAAATGACAATTTTTAGTTTTCGTCCGATATTTTGGAAATCCCTGTAGATATTTTGGATTTCAAAGCAGATTCTTAATGGTCATGAAATAGCGCTACTTTTCTCTAATTTAACCAACATTGTATCTCTTACCGTTTAGAATATTCCAATGGTATACACTGTAAGAGTGACTATCCTGTATACAGGGTGTCTCATTAAGAATGAAACACAGAACAACTAAATTCTCTCTGATTAAACGAAACATGCTTAGATAAAACATTACTCGTTTCTAAAGTTGAAAATCCAAAAATTATTAATTGCTATAAATCAGCAAAAAATTAGTTAAATAAACTTTGCCAGTAGCGTACGGCATGAATAAGTAACTTCTTTGTTCCCTCTAAATTTTACGCCACTGTGCAAAAACTTATTTTAAAATTTTTTGATATTTTTTAAATAACTTATGAGCTCTTGTTCGAAACACTCATAAAGGGATTGGTTTTTGAGATATTCACACTCAAAGGTGGATATTTTTCATTTTAATTTTGGATTTTTTTATAAATTTCGAACAAGAATAAATTATTTATTTAAAAACATCAAAAAATTCAAAATTATAATAGTCTATAGAAGTTTTTGGAAATGTGTAAAACTTAGAAGGGATTAAAGTGTTATTTACCAATGTGGTACGACACTGGAAAGCTTTTTTTTTTGTTGATAGGTGTATTTTAAAATGTTTGCTCAGTATAATTTTATAAAAAAAAATACAAATTTAAAAATATATTAAAATAATATCCACCATTGAGTGTGAATATCCCAACAGGAGTATATAAATTATTTAAAAAAACATCAAAAAATGTAAAAGTGTAGTCCAAATTAGTTTTTGTACAGTGATATATAATTAAGAGGGAATGAAAGTGTTATTTATCCATACGTGCGCCACTGGCAGAGTTTATTTTACTGATTTTTTGCTGATATGCGTATATTATTATACTAGAATGTTTGCCGAATTTAGTAAAATTATAGAAATA